TATCATAGTGTTTTAGCTGCTGACATTGCATCGAGTTCGGGCAAACAGGTCTGTGCCCGAACAATAAGTTCCACTGGACTCCACGGCAGAAGCGCCATGAAGTGACTTTCTATTAACGAGTGAATTCGGTAATGGCGCTTATAGTTTGCCAAAACCTATCCTGAAAAATCTCCGGATGATTACGTTCCACAGATATACTGGCAAAAGTGGTTAATATAGTTTTCGAATTATAATTTTGGGTTTTATATAAAACCAAGTTCTTTACATTAATGGGAGTTTTAATTTAATACAGATTTACGCACCTGTCAAAATTTATACCACACATTACCTCTGGCGGGACTCGAACCCACAATCTCCGGTTTAGAAGACCGATGCCTTATCCATTAGGCCACAGAGGCTGTTGTGTACATCTGCCACGGAGTAAACAGCAGTATATATGTTGTGACGTAGCTGCATCTATTCTACTTGCCCATCCTTCACCTTAGCTTGACGCCCAAATCATGGACGCTGTGATTGATTATATTTAATATGTATGTTATAAAACCGTTGCATTTTTATACGATAAATGGTCCCATGTTCAGCATTGAAAAAGATGTATTGTTCTAGGGTATTTTTTCCACCTACATATCAGGAAGCAATTCAGAACATTGCATGTCACATGTGTCATAAATATTTTGACAACAATCTCAGTCATTTTTCAATAATTGACCGCAGGTTGGAGTAGTTAGATTACCGCTTTCTTGTAATTATTGAATCTCAAAGCTCTCTTTCCAACATACTGTACATTCTTAGGCGATTCACCCAGAATCTGTGTCCTTCACCATCAGTATTACAGTTTTTTTAAATATTAAATCGGGACAAAATGAATGATAATGGAAAAATAATACAGTCAGAAATTAGGGGATACTCTTTTAATAGTTTTTGACGGTTATTTGGGTATTTAACGAAGGAATTTGTCATGAAACGTTAATTCTCTTATAATATTGATGCCAAAGCTATAATACAACGCTCTGAAATAAAATTATGAGTTTCGTAAAGAAAAGATAATTCATTACTGAGGATCTGAGTATGACATAAAGTACTGGGAGTATAAAGTAATTTTCAGTGACATACAAATATAGAAACAGTTCTCGATGTGTATCCAAACACGGCTTCGCATTTATTGCCTTCCTAAAAAAAAAAAAAAAAAAAAAAAAAAAAAAAAGAAGGTAAATTTTGTCTTTTAGCTTTTTTTTTAATATTGGAATTTTCTATTTGTTTGTTGATATTATATTCTCTCGTCCAGTAAAAATTATATTTAACAAGTGGGAATTTTCGTGTTGAGAGTTTAGTGCATACTGTTTCTATATTGCAGTGGTTATCTTGTCCCTTATGTGCAAGGACCCAGGTTGGGTCCCGGGTGGAAACAGCTCCTTCTACAGACTCAAGAAATATTTCCAAAAGACAAGCAAGTTCATGGTCGTTTGATTTCACTGCTTTCCACGTCAAAGCGCTTTAGTTGCCGAACTAATATTCCTAGCAACGTTTGAAAGCATCTTCTTCATTACTCCTCACAAAGATCTTACTTCTGATAAGGGACACGACTCCATATAAAACATAATATGTTGTGAACATTATACTTATTTTCCATATAAAATGAGTTGCATCGGAAAGCGAATGAGGGATGGTGTTTTACGAGATAATTGTATTCATATTTAATTTTTGTGCCATTCTGCAAATCACAGCCAGTTCTGTGCCCTGGAAGAGAGGATTCTGTTTATGACACGCTCCCAACCCGGGCAGGACGGCTCTGGGCGCTTTCAAAAATTTGAATTAAAATACGACTTCGGTCTAGAATTCTGTCCCCACGTTTGAAAAAATATATTTTTTTAAGGAAAAATTTGTATAATAAACTGTTATAACATGTACCTCCCGTCTACGTTGCTTAGATGGTCCCCGTGTCAACTAAAAACGAAATGTGTTTCCAGTTCTAGCCCTGCGTGAGGCATGGTTATCATTGTGTGCTCAACTGACTGGCCGTGAATGAATCTCCTTACAAAAAAAAAAGTCGATATTCGATACGATAAGTCGGATTTGCCAACAGAAGTTGGTATTTTACGACCCACTTTTCCTCAGAGCTGTTGGTTCGAGCCTCGTGTTATGTGGAAAATTTATTCTACATCACTAAACTATTCGGTAACCTTGCTCTTTCCTGTATGGGAAATAATACATAACTTCCAATTGATAGGAAGAGAATCCATTTATAGGCATTTCGTTTGAAGGGAAATATCAGTACATAACGTCTAAGTTTATACATAATGATTCAGAAGTCTGTAAACATAAAGGACAAGGGAGGTTGTAGAATACGATCTATATAACTACCATCCTGTTGAATGTACACGTTCATACTTCGTTCTCATTATTTGAGAACATGTCGTAAGAACCTTATGCTGAGCGTTGGAACAGATATCGATACTCCTATCCCTTAGATAAGCCTTATCCCGTACTTTGTCGCATAAACCACAGCCTTCAAATGTCTCCAGACTTATAAATCACAGGTAGGTACTCAAGTCTGACGACCTGGCTTACCCCGAGTTCACCTGATAACCAGTGAGTGCTTCTGTATGGGATCTTGAAGACCGCTGTCATTATCAATGTGGAATTAACTTCATCGGTAGCCGCCAGCGGCCAACCACTTCGTGTTTCGTCATAAACACACCTTTATTCTCTGAATTTGTGATCTCTTTCGCGACAGCACTGCCTGTGATAGAAGCTCGGGTGGTGTGTATACAGTTAAGTTCTTAATTATCCAGTACTGACATGCAGGACAACGTCGATAGATCCCTGCTTCGTTAATGCCATCGCCACATTTCATATACCTGCAGAGACCGAAAAAATATATTACCCTATGTTTCCTGACTTTTGAATTAGCCTGTATTTTTAACAAGAATATTGTTAATAGTAATAATTTTCATATCTTGCAAATTCTTCACGTTAGATACTGATGAAAACCCAGGTCACTTAGACAAATACAATAGTTCATATATTAAGGATTCACAAGTCGACAACATTGTCTAGTGTATTTTTTTGACGTCTTGAGATGTCATAGGATTAAAAATATAATTGTTATTTGCAAAAACATTTATGACTTTCAGACAATTAACTAACAATTAAATTTATTATTCAATTCTGTAACTGTATGTGTCTAATATTTTCATTCTGACATTTCTCAAATCTTTACATGATAATAGTAATAATTGTGTTTATGTAAATTTTTATTCATTTCCCATACAATAACATGCTTGACTCTCTGTTAGTTATTAAATATAGATTGTAGTTTTTTCATTCCGAAATATTTCTACTTTCCCGTTTTTATCTTTTCAATAACTCTCAGAACTATTAGGCATAAACTGAAATACATTAAAAAATATTTTCCGCAAAACTTTAACAAATTATTAACTGGTATGTCTACTTAATTTAACAACTGGAATATAACCTATATATAGCAATCTTTTGTTTTCGTTTCTGCACTAGAATAATAATCACTGTATGTAATGAAATTATGTTAATAAAATTATATATTTTCCCGTCTGAAGAATTTAAATTACTGTGTGAAAACCTAAGCTTTGACTGAACGTTTTGCCATTATATAATTATGATCGCACCGCTTAAATTTATAAAATAGTTTTTAAAATTTATTTACCAAACATAATAATTATTATGTTCATTTTTCTGATATCATTTATTAATTAAGATTATTGGGATATTTTATTTATTTCAGTATTTTCCGCAGGTGTGCTAACATTTTTTACAATTTATTTTCACAAAATTTTCTGGTCTATTGCAGTTTCGAGATTTCGGCTTTCTAGTTTTGTTGGTTATTTGATAGAAATACACATATTTTATCACGTTTATAATCAAATAATATGTTTTCAAATTATTTAGAAAAAAAATGTTGTGGCGTTCTTTGCTGAACCTTTATTAAATTTTATTACCTTGACTTGTTTACAGTATATACGAAAACCTCAATATTCATGAGCTTGATATTATTAATTTCTCAGTTTTTTTTATTCGGATAGCAATAATAACCTTATCTTCATAAATTTTCAATACCGAGTAAAAAAAAGGGAAATTTCTATACTTATTTAAAAAAAGTACTCTCTCATATGAAGACATTTTCATATATACTGATTAATATAATTTGCAAACTTCTTTATATTGCTTCAATAGGTTTCAGTAATAATAATTTTTTATATTAAAATGTAAAATGTATTTTAAATCTTCATTTATAGTTAGTTAAAATTATATGCCAAAGAAAATTATCTCGTATTTTTATCCATTATTATCAATGCTAAATTATTTTTGTGTTATAAATTTTGTAATTTGTAAAAGAAAAATGTTATAGATATAAAGGTGACCCTTACACAAAAATTAATTTCATCTGCAAATGTGCACACATAATATGTTGTCTATTACATATTAGGATTTTGTTTCAAATTTATCTGGATTTTAATGAGACTATTTTAGCCTGCTTTTCGAAGGAAAGATAGGTTTATGAAATAACCAGAATGTCTATCTGGAATGTGCCCTCCCATTCCCCCCATTAAATTTTACACCCGAAAACCGAATTTCAATAAACTAGATACACATATAATTTTTAGTACAGACATCGCACCTTTATAGTTTTCGAATACCCAGGGTACTTATTTTCAATATTGTCGCAATTGTTATATTTACTGCACTCTATTATATGTAGACAAGATACGGAACAGCTATGGTAAGTTTAACTTTTAGGCTGAAGTAGTTGTGTTGCAGTTTACTTTATAAAAGCGGCACGATCAAATGTCTGCATCGTAAGTGGGATGTTATCATGTTATCTATTAATACAGTGGAGCAACTACCACTTCAAATGAAGTCAATATTCTTCGTACTTCACTGATGCTTTGTTCAACTTCTGTCATTCATACAAGATCAATATTGTATGAGGGGTATAAAATTATATATGATGCCAAACGTATGTAGTTTCCGTAGTGTAGCGGTTATCACGTGTGCCTCACACGCACAAGGTCTCCGGTTCGATCCCGGGCGGAAACGTGCAACACTTTTGCAATGGCACAGAAAAAATATAGAAATTGAACAAATATATAGTATTATGATTGTCAAGTTATTACTAAATGCTTTAATTTTGCTTACAGATATGCAACAAAAATATTCTTTTACTTAGAAACAACTACGATGTATTGCTGGAAAACTTGAACATCTTTTTCCTCCCTTCCCTTCTTCACGAACATCTAACGTCCACTGAAACCTTTTGTTACACAAAACACAATTTTCAATACGTTCATGAAAATATCTGTATACTAAAGATCACATGATACACATATCTATCTGCCTAACTCTGTTTGTGCCAATCTCCATAGTGCATTAAATTTTCTCGCTGTGCAAGAGGTACTGAGAATGAGTTCTCGGTGCAGATTGGGTGCACGGCCGTATTCGACTGACTAATTTTGTTTCAGTTACTTGACTGGGAAGATATCACCTTCCTCTAAAATAAATTTACAAATGTACACTTTAAGAAATCAATTTAAAAAAAATTCAGTACAGCAGATTTAAACTCAAGGTCATGGGCTCGGAGATCATATTGGGTGAATAGTTATTTGGGGGAAAAATTTTGTGTTCAGACATTATTTTTTTAATGGCGGTGACGTAATTTTGTATCCGTATGTAACTAATACGATTGTTTATATGCGAATAGGAGAACGACCATGACATTTGCACTTTGTTCCAGGAGCACGTATGACAGGTTTGCTTTCTGACTGTCCACAGACAATTCCGAGTTGGTTGTGACACGTGGCTTCATGATGCAATGTCTTCGGCGATGGTCAGAAAATCAGCCATTCAAAACATCTATTTTATCTTAATTTTGATACCACTGAAACTCATATCACTTTGTTGGCTCTTTTACGAAACGCGAGAATCTGCATATCTTGTAACGGGCTTATACAATAAGATGTGATAGCAAAATTTGAAGCAGTAAGTTATTTCAGTTTTCAACTAAGATCCGTACACATACAGCATTTTGATTTTGATGTTATTTATTTTGAGTAGCCAAGTAATTATTATAATAAAATAACGGAGTTAATTAACAGTTTAAAAGCTGCGTGCACTTGCGAGAATAATTCCTGAAAGTTCACAAATATATCTCTATAAATACCCGAAATTTTGGGTAATTTTGATCAAGAATAATGATATAGTAAACAATGTCTGAGGTTGAGTGATGAAAGATGTAAGTAATTGAATAATCTCCAAATTTTGTTTTAATCTATAATATTAATAAAATAGAAATATCTGTCTGTGATTTTCGAATTTTTCGCTTTTAATTATTTTTCATATAGTATAATTGATTGCTAAGCCATATCTAATGTTAATTCTTTTCGTATCTGTCTGTCCTGCCGAACGGATTTAACTCAAAAAACACTTAACGTATTGACATCAAATTTACACAGTATATAGATAATAACCCCAGAACCAACTTCGTATTTGTTTCATCGAGATATCTCAAACGGTTCCGAACAAATTATGATCAGGGATGTAAATATGTATCTAGTGACTTAAACTATTCTTAGGTCTACTGCATAGAAAAAAGCATTGCTAAAAAAAAATTTGCGTCATTTCTCCTTTCTTTTTTGTCTATGGGCTGTAAACCTATACTTAAAAAAAGCCGAAGTTGAACAGTGGCTAGAGCACCCAATAAGGGGGACAGAGAAGCTCAGTGGCTAAAGAACCCTATAAGGGTGCCGTAGAAGCTCAGGGGCTAGAGAACCCAATAGTGGGGCCGCAGCTGGTAAGGGGCTAGAGCACCCAATGGTGGGTCCGCAGCTGGTCAGGGGCTAGAGCACCAAATAGTCGGGCCGCAATAACTTAGTGGCTAGAGCACCCAATAAGGGGGCCGCAGTAGCTCAGTGGCTAGGGAACCCAATAGCGGGGCCGCATCTGGTCAGGAGCTAGAGCACCCAATAGTAGGACTGCAGCTGGTCAGAGGCTTGAGCACCCAATAGAGAGGCCGCAGTTTCTCAGTGGCTAGAGTACCCAAAAAGGGTGCCGCAGTAGCTCAGTGGCTAGAAAACCCAATAAATACAGTGGCTAGATCAATTCAAAGTCCTTAATCTCATGCTAACATAAAACATATGCAAAACGATGGCAGGGTGTAATTTAATAACTCCTTTAAAGCTTAAGGAAGAAATACTAATAATCTAAACATAAAAACTTAATGAAACTATTTTAGGATTAATTTTAATATCTTAAAAAAAAAATTATACGAATGAAGTCGCACGTGTCAGCTAGTCAATACATAAAAATACAACTGGAAAGTTGTAAAAATTAACATACAAAATATAAAATCCACGAATGAAATTTGAAATATATATATATATATATATATATAACTTTTATGGACACATACTGTGTATTAGGTTTATTGAAATTTATTGGGGCTGGGCTTGGTTATTTTGTTGGGGTTGGTGGTGAATCACGTCACACGACTGTGTTTCATTCACCCGGGGCAAAGGTGATAAATAAACATATGTGGATGTAAATGAATAACTTCGTCATAAAACAGTTCACATTTAAACGTATAAATAGTTCACATCAAATATTTGAAATCACGCACACACAGATCCAGTGTAACAATCACCACGCAGCCACGCCACACTGTTTCACACACAGCGGTTAACGAAACACACCATAACAGTATATTTATTACTGCCGTGGAAACACAGATTTATCACAACCTCATAACTTTCTTAGGTAGGTTTAAAAAACACAACGTCTAAAAAGTGTGATTTGATAATTTGAAGTATTTTTTGGAGTAAGTATAATTTACACTTCGTTTGGTAAAACAGCAACACGTCATGTCATGGCTTGCCATGTCTGCCAACGCATTCAAACATTAAAATCTCTTTTCAGTTGTAAATTACAATTTCAAAAATCATTATTTTACTGTAATAAGCATGAAATATGCTACAATTGAAAACCTGTATAATATTTGTGCTTACTAGCGAAATGAAACTTCCCGAGCGTGAAAGAAACAGAAAAAGAGAGAGAGCGGCAAGCCTCGCTCAGCAGACAGTTGCTTTCTTGCTCGATAAAACAACACTGTACCATTATGGCCTACTAACAATATTTTTCACTTTAATTTTAAACTGAAAAAATGAGATATGTTGACATCGGGGCTACATAAATATTTCAATATTTCAATAGGCAGCATTTAATTTAACAGTAGTATACTAAAAAACTAGCTTAAAATAATATTTTAACTGTGAACACATTCTCACCGGTCATTGCTAACACGTGGCTGCTCTATCTGTTGTTAATTCATATTTAAAAAGAAATAAATATTACAAGTTATAGAAGATATTAAGGTAAAGTATAATTTATTCAATAATACAGTACTCTAAAGTTAACCACATTGATATACATTTTAGTAATACAAGTTATTGGAAAAAAAAACATATTGTCACGTTATGCTTAGGGTGTTTTTTCAAAGGTTGATTTTCATAAGTCGCTTCCAATCGGAATGTACTATACATGTATTAGTTTGACCCGTTCTGCACCAGTTACCCAACTGGGAAGCTATTACCTTCCTCTGTAATAAATAAAAATATGTTGACTATAAGAAATCAATCAAAAAGCCATTACTGCAGAAGATTTATACTCAGAGTCATGTGTTCGAGCCCCACGATTGGCGAAGATAATTTGGAAAAAAAATTTTTTTCAGCAGTGTGCCCACGATACGGAAAGTAGATTGACGGGTAACTTTAATCGGTATGTAACTCTCGAGATTATTTATATATATTAATAGAATACATTTAAAGTCCTGACATAGGGTGGAACGCATACAGGCATGACTTGGTTGTACAGTTTGTTTGCTTGTATGGTTGATTGGTATGATCTGATCACATGTTCTATTATTTTGGCAGTATGATAAACAGTACAGCTTAGATAGAATGACTGTGTGATTCGTTTTTTGTTTTTGGCTAGTTAAATGGGAGGGGCAGGATGCTTAGCTGGTATGGTCGGATAGTACTAACAGGGTGGTTTGATGGGAATTATGACAATATGGGTGTTAAGTTATGGGCTGGGAGGAGTTGTCTATTGCAGATCCTAGAGAAACTCAATAACGTGACTAAAATTCAAGAAAATTTCTCACTTTCAACCACCTTTTTCAAAATCTTCTGGAGACATAATTTACCTCTTCAAATTTACCGCAAATTTTACCAAAATCTACTCTACAATCAAGCTAATTTGATCCAAATCTGCAATCTAAATCAAGTGCACATTTTTTTAAAACATGATTAGTTCACTCTTTGAGCAGTGTCCTTCTAGGGAGTGAATGGTCCAAAATTTAGGTCAAAAAAGGCCAAATTTAGTCTAAATTTGCAAGTCAAATCAATTAGTCAAAACAATATCACAAAAATTAGATTAAAATTCATGGAATTTCATCAGAAATATGATGATTTAGCTTGCAAATAAAGCTTTAAAGACCCCTGCACAAAGAGTGAACACAAGTTGAAAATTGGTTTTTATTTTAACCTTAAATTTGATTGATTTTGAGTTGCACATTATTTTACAGGAAATTAGAAGTTTGCTTGAATTTGGCTGAAATTGCTTGAATTGTTTTTTCTAATTATTGAATATTGCTATGATCTGCAAAATACATGTACTAAATTTATAAAAAGTTAGATAAAAGTTAAAAACAATAACCCCATTTGAAAAATCAATCAAGCTAAATCATCTTATCTTGATGAACTTAAGCACTTCTCAGAATTTTTGTCAAATTTTGTGAACTTAGAACCTCCACTAAATTATTAGAAATTGCAAAATGTTTACAAACAAGCTAATGCTATTCCAGGGACATTCCAGGTTTAGAGGTTGTTACACCTCTAAATATATATATATATATATATATATATATATATATATATATATATATATATATATATATATTCTGGCCTTGATATTAGCACCAACAACCAATTGGATAAACCCCCCATCTCTCCACCAGCCAGCCTATTTTTTATATTTTTTAGTAGGGAAGTGGGAAGTTTCTTAGTTTTTGCTTTTTGTTATTTTTATTATTTCTTATTCTATCCCTTCCCCATAAGATGCTGGCACCTTACATCATATGGAGTTTACTTCAGCTTATTACTGTTGTAATGCGGAGAGCATATTTTGCTGGAAGTTTGAGGGTACCATTTTTATTTGCATCAATACTATAATAAGGGCAAGAGCAATGAAATGATTTATTGGCTCAAATTTAGAATGTCTTGGTAATAATTTAACAATGCCAAAAATGTGCACCTCATATTCCCACAGTTAAATTATAACCTCTGACCAGGGTTTCAAACCCACGACCTTTTAGTTACTATACAAACACTCTACCACTGAGCCACAGTGGTCGAGCGAGCGGTGAGGAGATAAAAATGCTGCATGCTGTGAACTGAAACCTGTTATCAAGAGTTATGCAGTGTGTTCGGCACTTGGTGAGTATATATCAGCACAGTTGGGTGATAATATGGTTCGTGTTGTGGCTAGAGTTTGCTGTCATCTCCAACAATGAAAACTCATGTCGAGATAGACTGTGCTGGAAGATTGCTTTTTTCCTGTATTAAGTAGAAGGGGCAATGGCCACAAAAGCAGATAAATAATTCTCGTATACAATTCACGAGAGAGAGAGAGAATTAAAGAGAGAGAGTTACAGAGAGAGAGAGAGAGAGAGAGAGAGAGAGAGAGAGAGTTAAAATATAAAGTCCTTTATTTATTTGATTTCGATACTTTCCACTATCCATTTTTCTACTCAAATCTAATGTTAAATCACTTAGGTCTTCGCCCCAGCACTTTGCACAGATCTCTTTACATATTTCATAACACGTATCACCACCAGCAAAATCGCAATAGATATGTCTGAGGTTTGTGTCATCTTGTCTAAGTATACATAGAAAGTTCATTTTGTCCCTCACCAATTGCTTGGGCCCACTCAAATAAGTATGTTCCAAATAAAAAACATCAATATTTTTATGCCGACCTCTAATAAAATATTCGTGGATGAAGTTTTGATTACTTAAAATTACATCATCGAAAATAACTACAGAATTATTTTCACACTGATATATTGGAATCATTTTGTCATTGCTATTTTTAAAATATGATATTGTTTCATTAAATTTGCTGGATATGACATCAAAGTCATTTTGTAGTTGAATATATTTTGGTTGATATAAATTTTTTACACAAACATACAATTTATTGAAATTTAACCAACCGTTCTTATAAATAAAATTAATTATCAGGTTTGTTTTCCCACATTTGCTTGGGCCTACTACTATACCTCTTATATCATAGGGCAAAAGTTGTTATTTTTTTTAGAGTTTTCTTCAGAAATTAAAACACCAAGACCCCAATCATATTTCTTTGTTTAATAACATAATTTTTGTAATTAATGAAAATAAAGTATTCAAGTTAACAGATAATATATCTATTCTTAAGAAGAAACTTCACTATGATACAATTAATAAAGATAAATCTATACCATTTATTAGTTTTCAAGAGACATTTTCTACACCAAATATAGACAATAATACTATAACGACAATGGAAAATTGAGTGCTGTTGTTAAAAATGAAGTTATAAGTATTACCAGTAGTCAATATGATGTTTAATCTTTAAAATAAGCTATAAATTCATTTGAGCCATTTTCAACAAATAACACTGAATTGACAACAGACAATGTGGAAAACAGATTAACGATAAAAACAAAGATTGGTATTAAACTTGAAAATCACTACTGTGATAGCTTGGTTTTGAAATCAATATGACAATTGAAAAGGACAAAACTGTCATAGGCAAAACATTGTCTAATTTTAATCGATATAAAACAACAAATATTCATTGTAATTTGGCATATGGAAAGTTCATAAAATATGATGACTCTGATCATTTAGAAACTGATATAATTTTTAATTTTCAACTAAAAACTATGTTTGGTTTTCGAGATAACATTAGCTATGAACCATCATATCTCATTTTTTATAGAATTAACAATGAACATATTAATTATATTGTTCTAGAAATTACAGACGAAAATGGTAAACTGATTGTTTTGGTGAAGCTGATATTGACATTGTTTTGGAAATTAAAGAAGTTTGAAATATCATTGTGTAATTTTATTTGTCGGCACGCTGACCACTGAATTATTTGTCATATTTTACTTAATATTTCAGCCCATACGCACGTAGGGATTGATAATCTATAATGAATAAAACATCAATTTTCATTAAATATATCTGAAAATTTAAAAGGGGGCTGGCAGTCCCCCTCAAGGGGTTCATAAAATATAAAAATTTTCTTAGAAAATTTGAAGGGAGTAACTTGGCGTTACTCCCTTAAGAGGTACATAAAATATAACAATTTCCTTCCAGAAATAGGTGTGACGAAATATTCATCACAAATCTCATTAATAAAATTATTATGTAAGAAAATATATGGGAGGATTGTGTGTCCACCCTTACCTTTAAACAAATTATAAATTTCGATATCCATACGGCAGTGTATCTATTATATTTTCTAGTTTAATTATCTTGTTATCGTACTGACTTAATGCGATTTTATTAACTTCAATTGTATATATTTTGTGTTTCTCGCTCCTAATCAAAAATATCGTTCTATATCGAATTTTCTCATCAAACACACATTTATTATGAGGCTCAAATATAATTCTATTAACTAACGACAGGAAAATAACTGCTTGATTTATAATTACGTTCCACAAATATACGGGCTAAAGAGGTTAATTTAGTTAGGGAATTATAATTCTTGACTATATATAAAGCCAAGTACTTTACGCTAATGCCAGTGTTAATTTAATGCAGATTTCCACACCTGGCATAAGCATAATTAGTGAGTACAATCTATAACACACTTTACCCCTGGTGGGAGGCGAACCCAAAGCCCCGGTTTAGAAGACCGATGCTTTAACTATTAGGCTACAGGGGCTATCGTGTACTATTACCACGGAGTAATTACTAGCATATACGCTGTCACATAGCTGCAATTATTTTACATGCCAATCCATCACCTTTGCATGACTCCCAAATCATGAACGCTGTGATTCAGTATATTTGAAATGTATACACATTGTGGAGGTTTTTTTTGTTATTTTAAGAAATCCGCTGCATTTTCATACGACAAATGTTTGGATGCTCAGCATGAAAACAATATTGTATAGTGTAATTTTTCAACTGCACATCAGAAAGAAATTCAGAACATTACAAGTCACAAGTGTGGTAAATACTTTGACAACAATCTTTATCATTTACCAACAATTGACCGCAGGTTGGAAGTCTGGATATCGCTTTATTGTAATTATTGTATCTCAAAGTTCGCTTGCCATGAACTGTGCATTCTTAAGTAATTCACCCATTATCTATGTCCTTTGCCACCAGCATTACAATTTGTCATTTAATAAATCGGGATAAAATGAGTGGAAATGGAACAAAAATCGTAAGAAATTTAGGGAGAGTCTCTTCATTGTCACTGACGTTTATTTGGGTTTTTAAGCAAGGAATTTGTTATGGAATGATAATATTCGTATAATATTGCTGCCAAACAGATTATTTATTGAGAATATCATTTAATACATTACAATCCTTAAGTGTCAACGAGAAAAACGGAAAGCAATTTTGACATATGGGACACTCTGAAATAATATTATGAGTTTCGTAACGAAATAATATTCATTACTGAGGATCCGATTATGATATCCAGTGCTCGGAGAACAAAGTAAGTTTCAATGTCATTAAAAAATAAATAAGCAATTCTAATCGTCTAGCTGAATACTGGTTCGCAAATTTTTTCTCACCTAAAAAAATACATTTTGTGTTTTAGCTGTTTATTATTTTTCATTTTTTCGAATTGTCTGCTCATACTATATTCTCTTATCAAGAAAATCTATATTTAAGAAGTTTACTTTTACATGTTGAAAGCTTAGTGCATATTGTTCCCGTACTGTAGTGTTTATCTTGCCTCTTATATACAAGGTCCCAGGTTGGGTCTTTGGAGGAAAAAAGCTTCTACTTCTACAGATTCTGCACCTACAACAACAAAACATAAGAAAATGATTTTCTCAATTAAAAAATTAATTTTGTGGACAAACATAAAGTTCAGTAGAAAATATTTAGAAATCGTAATTAAGATTAGGGTCTGATACAGCGGGAAGGGGAGGGGGGTGATATTGTTTAATTGTGTTAATATACCATGATAAAAACAAAAATTAAATTTACTGCTGCTTGAGTCAGCTCTCACAAATGTGACAAAACATATTATGAAACATGACGATATATTATCATTAAGAATAAATTCGTTCATCCAACAATTATAATCTAACTATCTGAGTCGGAAGTGCGAAGGCTCCTTAACTACGGCCTCTGGTAAAATGTCCGAAAATAGGTGGTCAATTACACAACGATAAAAAATGTCTCCTTCACTATAAAAGTTAAAATTCGGCATCTTAAATTTTCATTAAAACTTGCAATTAGTAAACAAAGTTCTTGAGTTGACTTGAAAGAAATGTCACGGCTTTACACGTTCAGCAGGTGCAGCACCGGCGCCGGCGAAGAATGCACTAAAAAATTAATATCTGGAGTTTATGAGCCAATTCTTAGATTCGCCCGGCACATTTAAATACTTTCGCCCCTTTCCAGGCGACCCTAACCTTACGTCGAGCAGTCATACTACCAAAGATATTTAGCTTGGTAACTGAACCTTATTAAGAATGAACTGCCCCAATTCGTGGCCGGAATGAGACTTTTTGCAAATTTCTCAAGTCGGAAATCATGGATGGACCTGCAATTTAAGTACAAACTTTCATTAAAAAATGATGAGAGCATTTATCTTCCTCCAAATAAAACTAACTGAAACAGTAAAATTCAAAAACCCCTGCACTATAGCATAGGTTTGATGGTAAGATAAAATAAGAGTAACAGCTCAAATATTAAACATATTTAACACTGAATAATAGGCCAATATAATAAACAAATTTGAGCTTCAAAAAAAAAACTGAATGATAAATCCTAAATTTACAAAATAAAGTAAATAAATTTAATGAGGCGTTCCAAAATCTAAATACTGATCAAAATTGTAAACAAGGCAAATAACACTTTGTGATAATGTAAATAAAGAGATTCTAAGCTTGTTAAGTGTAAATAAACAAATATGTATTAAAATATACTGAACTCTTGTTTACCATCACAATGGAAATAGAAACTATAAAAATATGTTACATAAGAACGCAATTATTTGTTTAATATAACGAATTACCTTATTTTGTCAATAACATATGCCGATTCGAATATGAACAACTTTCAGCTGATAATCCCCGCATTTAATACACACGAATTATGAAAAATCAAATAGTTTATGCGTTTTCGGTTTGTCACAGACAAAGCTATACCACATTCAACCCGCAGACATTTTCTGTAACATACATTTATGTCACTCTAATGTTGTGTGATTGAAGATTATGACTATGAAAATCCGTCATGTGGAGCAGTTAAACATACGGGACTGAACTGACTTCGTCATAGAGCTGATCTCTTTGTATTCAGGTTTGGGAATGGGTACCACTGATTCAAGATCTTTTTGTTGCTCACTGGCTGTGAGTCTAACCCAAGATTGGTCGACTGTTATTACATTTCATACATCCAAATATATGTATTTCAGTGACCTAGAATGTGTAATTAAAATATCGCCACTTAATTTCCTCAGTACAGTCGGTGTACGATTGTATCCTTACATACAATAAGCCAAAATGTATCACTTTTAATTATACATGTGCAAGAAAAGGGACTGTGATCAAAGACCTTCTCGTTGGCAGGCAGACAAAACACAGGGAACGGGTACGCTACACTAAAATTTAGGCAGAAATACTTAGTTGGTTTACAGTTTCCTTAATAAAACCATTAGAGGAAACTAATGCATCAGAAGATGACTTCACAATATTATCTGCGTATGCAGCAGAGCACAGACCTCAAGAAATGAGGTAGTTATCCTTCGCACGTCACTGATTTATAGATTGCGTACACTTATGTGAGAACGCTTGGAGCATGTGGTTTCCGTAGTGTAGTGGTTATCACGTGCGCCTCACACGCGCAAGGTCCCCGGTTCGATCCTGGGCGGAAACAATTTTCCTGCATTGTCATGAAAGGTATTCAGAAATCAAACTAATACATAGTCGTTTGATCGCGAAGTAATAATCTCTACATGCTTTTACTTTTCTCTAACGATACGCTAACAAAGCACCTTTACGTATAGACTGTTTTTGCTGGAAATATTACAGAGTAACTTCTTCTCCCCACGCCTTTTATCAAACGTCCAACATCCATTGTTATATGATCTAATGTAGGCCTTCCAGAATTAAACCGCTAGTTTAGAAAAATCGCATGGCATGTAGTCAGCCTCGCTAGCTCAGTTGGTGCTGAACTCCATGTCGTAGTTAGTTTTATTCACACATGTGTATACGGAACGAAAAGTACTGGCTTCAAGTCATCGGTAAGTTATATGTGTAATTGTATTCTCCTGAGAAATAACTTTCACGTACATAACTGGGAAGCTATCACTTTCTAATACTTACAATAAATCCCAAGACGAATTTAAAAAAAAATATCAATGAAAATTCGGTAGCGCAGTTGACTGTCTAACTTTTAGACATTATGAGTAATAAATCTTTCCTTGCAAAAAATTTCAGCCATAGTTAACGCATAAATTCAATTCAAAATCACAATTTTATTGCTTTACAAATGTACAAATATTGAAAACTACCACACGTACAGAAATGATATTATTCAAACCGAAAGAAATTGTCAAGAGCTGCTTCAAGATGTCTGTAAAATTGAACAAGGAAAATTTTTTGCAATTTCAAAAAATTACTGAAAAAAATAAGAAATTCTTGAATATATTTTACTCGTGGACGCTCCTAAATTTTTTGATAATAGCTTTTGATGGAAATATCATAAAATTAATTTAGAAAAATCTATCAGTTAGCCATTTTCAATCTTCTGCAAAGAGTTTCGTTTATTTTGTGTTCTTTAAAGAAGGGACAATTTTGAATCAGGCATGTAATTTTGCAGAAAAAATGCAATCTAGAAAAAAAAAAGATTTGAGTAAATGGGACTTATATATTATGTCTACAAGATGAGCTATATGTGCTATTAATAAATAATAATAAATATTTCTGTGGTCAACGAGATTAAGGTTAGGCTCGTAGGTTAGAGTTTCAATTCAGTATTTTATGAGAAAGAAAATTGTGATCAGAAATTTTATCCAACAGTGGAAAGAGGCAATTTGAATACAACATCAGGCCAAAAGTCTGCAAATGACATTATTTTATTAACAGTGACATTGACGTATATCGTTGGCCAACACTCAAGACGTCGAGCTATAGCTATATTAACCGAGTGATTTGAATTTTTTACAGACAGAACTGACGCGAATTCGAAGAAATTGTTTCTATTATATATGGTATATATATATATATATGAATATATATAAAAAATATGTATATGAAAATATATATAATTATATATGTATGTATACATGAAATGTCATTAATTGTTATGGGAAGTATACATTCTTGCCCATTAACACATAATTTCTAATTTTGATGAAAATGTTTTTGATAGCGTGTCAGGCTCTGTAGGGTAACGATTTACATTTTGTCGTAATATTTAGGTAATTAATATATTACAACGAGATAGAAATCTCTCGTATTTGTCCAATTATTTTTAAGTTCAATTTTAATGAAGTACTTTCACCAATGACCTGCCGTTTTGTTGACGAGGTAATCTCCGTGTATTTGAAAACGATACTGGCATGTCCGTTAAAACTTACAATATCAGGATAAATATTTGGTCCATGATACATTTAGTCACAGCACGATAAATGTTACAATAAGCTGCAGGTTGCAAACTATAATGCTTGGCCTTGTTCCATAAAATTCA